ATTCTGGGAGTTGGAGTCCACTCATCTTAAAGTGGCCAAGTTTGGACAACACTGGTTTATGTAGAAAGTAAGGAAGATGACTTTGATAGAGATATACTATGTTGCCAAGGCAACAAGGAGTAAAACACTTTTTAAATCCAGAACATCCAGATAACAATATTCAGAAGCAGCTCAGACAGTTCCCTCATTGACCACTAGCAGGAGGAGGAAGAGGAGCAAGGCAATCAGACTTGCAAGATTCTATTAATCTCAATAAAAGTAGTTTTAGGCTTCCTGTGGAGTTGATTTCTTGGTCTGGTACTGTATACCAGCGGAGCTGATAGCTTACTCACAAAATTATCATGTCTGCAAATTGTAAATATGTTTACAATTTAGTCAGACAATTATGTTTATTATTATATTAACTGTTTTAATTAATGTTTATTAACTGAATTTACTTTAAAATGTTTTTTAAACTTTATTTTGGTACTCATTTTTGCTATTTTTGTTCTTTGAAGTCTAATCAAGAACACATCAGGGAAAAATCAGACAACCAAATGAAATACTGGATTTCTTCTTTGGTAAGATGGCAAGCACTCCTGGGTCTAATCCCCATTTTACTCTTGCACTGGGAAGCTGGACTGGACTGTTGTCCTTTATGTATAGGAACTACAGAGCTCTGATATTCTAGAGAAAAGTCTTCCTACAATAAGTTAAAAGAAAACATTTGGGGAAAATAATGGATAGCAGTATGCGAGTGCCTCCTTACTTGATTCTAAAAAAAAAACAAAGTCACTGGAATTCTTAAATTTTTTCAGGAAGCAAAAAGAAAAAAACATCCTATGGAAAAAACTTATTTCCAATGTTTTCCTGTTTTTTTCCCAAGGCGTCACATCTCTGATCAAGTGTTGAAGGGAAAGATTTTACTGGATATTTCAAGCCTGTGCTTGAAGTAGAGCCTTTCTGTCATGTGACTCTCTCTTTAGACTTTTCATCCTGTGATTCTTCCTTGCTATTAACCGTATAATCTATGCAAAATTCTTAGGCCCCACTATGTTCAACAGAGCTTACTCCCAATTAGGTGTGTAAAAAAGACTACACAAGTATCGCAACCAAGTACTGACATCAATTAGTACCGTGTTCCTTAGTGCACAATAATATAGAGTAGCCTTCCTCAATCTGATGCCCTTGATTTGTCTGGACTTTGGCTGAACTGGCCAGGAATTCTGGGAGTTATTGTTCCCATTGACTGGAAGGCATCAAGCTAAAGAAAGCTGATGGATAGAGTAAACTGGAAAAAAAAGTAATCTGATGTGCCAAATAATATTCTGTCCCACCCTGAATCTAAAAGAAAATATATTTTTTACCAGGGAGATAGAATACTAAATGCAATGGGAGACTTAATTTAAACATCTCAGTAAGGTCTTAATAACCATTGTTCTAAGTGTCGTAATTTGATAAAAAAGCAATAAAGCTCCATACAATGGGATTTCACATTATTTGCCATAAAAATGTTACAAAAGTGGCTGCATAAATTCATCAGTTCGTGTGGTATTTGCCAACTGTTAATTACTGTAGCACAAACTGTGTACTTGGAATAATCTGAAATAAACAACAGTGACAATTTAGTAAAACTGAGACAGACCTTTGCATCTCGAAGACCAGAGACATCACGAGGGGTACGAGAGGTGCTGCGACTTCGTGCCATAGATGTGGGTGGTACAGAATCTTCTCGTTTACGTTTACGAGTGACGCTCCGTGATCTTCTTGTCTGGGCTAAATAATGTGCCTGAACATTTGCAGATAAAGAAGAACCCAATCAGAGTCCTCTTTAATAAATTGGTCAGATGCCCTGCTGCAACCTGGTGTTCTATTGATCAACATAAATTCTTCTTATATCAGCTAAGACCCTACAAGAGGAAACTTTGGGATACCTGAAACACTCCAAGTTTCTACTGAGCACAAGAAAAATCTTGCTGTTTTTACAATGGCTAGCCAAACATCCACAGCAGAGCATAAAGGAGACAACTCTCCTGTTCTTCCTGGAAGCACCACGCAGCCATTTATGATAGAAAGCTGCTGACTGTCCACAGTTCCTCTTCAACAGATGATCCTGGCTTTTTAAAACTACTTAGAACATTTTACTGCTAATGGCATTTCCCATACCCTGCATTGTTTTATATTCTTATTTCCTTTCCTCTTCCTTATCTGTATTTTTCCCAGTAGCTCCAGATATTCCTTTTGTTATCCAGAATTAAAGCAATTCAGCTCCATTTTCTGTTTCATAAATCACAGGCAGAGCAATGATGTTCAGGACAAAAAATAAGCAAAAAAGCCTCTCTTACATCAGTTTTGCTGGTCAGGTCAAGCCCCAGATCGGTCATCTCCTTCTCTAGTGTCTTCTGCTGAACCTAAGGCCAGAAGGAACGTGTTACATCTTCAGCTGCCAATACAATTTTATTCTTCTAGAAATGTCACTAAAGAAATCTAGGAAGCAGCCCTAAACTGCTCAAAAGCAAGAGAGACCCTAGAGACGAGCAGCACAACTGTTTGAGATGAGGAAGCAAGAGCTTCAACAGTCTGTCATTCCACACCTGGAAAAGACAGTCTCAACAACAGAGGTTTTGAAACTTTACCAACTAAACTTTAGGTACACACGCAGCAGGAAAAAGCGGCCAAATGGCTGTTCTTTGAATTTTAGCAAGGAAATCATACAACACATCCCGAGGCGACAAGTTACTTGGATTGAGATGGGCGGCTATAGAAATTGCATAATTAATAAACAAACAAAATTCTGCAAACTGGGCTAGAACATTCTCCCACAATATACTTGGGTTAATTTGCTCACATCTGCCTGCCCTAATTTGCAGCCCTCCAGATGTGCTGGCCTTCGTCCCATAATTTCCAACCAGCATAACCTTTAGGGAAAACTGGCTGAAGTAGTCAAGTATTTAAAAGCCTCCTGTTGAAAAGCTTGGACAGTTGCTACTGGCCAGTATAAACACAATGGAGTTAGATGGACCATCAATTTGCTTCTGCACAAGGTTCCTTCTAACCTTCAGGTTCATTCTATTTCTTCACGTCTGTACAGACAACACAAGTAAATCTACTTTTTAAGACAAGCCACAGCTGGGAAATACCATTGAAAAGTCTCCCATTCTTTTTTCTTCTACCATCTTTAAGTTATTATCTACTGGAGTCCCTTATTTCTCTCCCAGTCCAACATGTCCTTCTGCCCAAGACAACTGCGTTCACATCCCACCACATTCTCACCCAAGTATTTTTATACTTGCCTTTTTAGCTGTTCTGGGCATCCTGGGCCCCTGTGTGTTTTTCTCCTTTGACTCCAGAATCTTCAGTTTCTTCTTCTCACGAATTTGTTGTGCCAATTGCCTAATTCCCATCATTTCCTCATCTTCACTTTCTGAATCACTATCATATTCTCCAGCTGCTTGCCTTAGCTCCTCTTCTTTCTCCAGCTGTTCCAATTTCTTGAAAGATGCCACACTCAATACATTAGAAATTGGTTTCTATAGTGTATAGGTAGTCCCCGGGTTAAAAAGCCCAGTTTACGGACAACCCATAGTTAAGAATGGATTCTACTTGTAGCAAAATTCGAATTACCATATTTTTCCAACTATAAGACGATACTTTTTTCTAAAATCCTTATGCTAAAAATTGAAGGGCGTCTTA